AAGGCCCTGAACGTTAAAAACCAAATGTGTCATTAGTAAAAAGAAAAAGCTTTCTTAATATCCTAATACTTCATTAAAATGATTTTATTCCTTTCATATAAGACTTAACTAATTTTCAAGAACCTTGAAAACTAAGCTTGCTAGATTTTAAGATTCAATTTTACCAGTTTTCATTTGTAGTGTTTTCATGTGTGAGAAAGATACGGAAATCACGAACGACAAAAGTTTTCGAAAAACAAAGTTTACATTGTTAAACTTGCCAAGAACCGACTGAGACCAAATAGAAAATAATGCAAAATGCAATGCAAAATACAAAATGACGAATTTTTTCGTCAGTAAATTGGCATTTGTAAATGTTTTTGAATATTTTTAAGCTTTTAAAGGTGAAAGTAATTGTCAATACCTTTATTTTGCTCTTTTCAATGTGAAATGAAAATGGAACATGTTTGATTCTTTCAATAAAATTATTTCCTTAAACAGGTATATTTTGTTGTAGAAAGAGTGGTTATAAATTGATAACAAAAACTGAAAGAAGCTGAAGCTTTGATGTACTAAACACTGCATAGCACATTGGTTTCAGTGGCGGATTCAGCTATGGGCTGCAGGGGGCGCACCCCTCCCTAGTTCGAAGTTGTGCCCCTACTTCGAAGATAACCAATACTGGTTTTTCCTTTTGATTCTAAGGGGTGCGACCCTTCCTGAGTTACTTTTGTGTGCAGCACCCCTCCCTGATCAAAATCCTGGATCCGCCCCTGGGTTTCCTTGCCTGATGTGTATTATTTTGCACTACAAAATAATTGTCAATACCTTATTTTGCTCTTTTAATAGTTCAAACTAGTGTTCACTAGTTACTGAGAATATCTTGTGGAGATAAGATTGTCATGAGCCCTTACTTGGGTCCGGACCTGATTAAGACGGCAGAAAACTTGCTATAGCAACTCGAGCCACGAGGAAAAGAAATTTATTTTGCTTTATATAATGATGTAATCCACGAGTGAAAATGGCATACCATTAGTTACGAAGTGGACAGATTACAGGAAACATAATTTGTGGCACGACCGCTACATGTGCAGAATCTTCCAAGAATTGACCCCAGGGGGGAAGGTCTAGTGGCCCACAGAAGCACGGCACAAATTGGTCAGCCGTTTTTTTTTTTTTTTTTTTTTTTGCAATTTCAAGGTAAAGATCGGCCATGAAAACAGTTATTGCATTGTTTAGAGATGTATAATGAAAGCTCTAACAGTTAAATGAACTGATAAATTCGGCAAATTAAAAACTTACTGCATAAAACGCGAAAAATGATTCGTCCTACCAGGGAAGGTGAAGTGGTAAGTGGTGCACGCTACGCCATAGTAATATGGTTAGCCGTCTATCGACGGACTAACCACAAAAAAGCTTGATCAAAATGACCCCTACGATGGATACCTCTTTTGGCTCTTCCTCCAGGTTTTCTATGACTGAAATTTCCGTACAGAAACTTTTTCGCTGGCAGAAAATGTCCTGCCATGTTATGTTTAGGTTCTTACGTGCGTAGGACTCGGGCGAGAACCAAATTCGACCTTATTACTCTCCCACTAAGGAATTTCGTAACGTGTACACGACCCACCACCAGCCACCCCACAGGGCTAGTTTTGTTCTTGAAAAATCTTTCCACAAAGTTCTCTATGGTCGACATTTTTTCGCATGTTTGGTTGATTTTACTTAAATGAAAGATGACTACAAATAATTCAACACGATATCAGGTTCAGTGAAAATTGCCCTATTTCACTATGACGTCACATCAAAACAATCTATTGTTTAAACGCAAAGGATCATGGTCGTCGAAGGGGGTCAAATCAACGCAAATCCACCGAAAATTGTTCTAAAACCCGTATCAATCCACGAAGAGAAGTAGAATAGCCAGCAAACGCTCAGAATATTTTTTAGTACATATTAAAACATATTATATCTGAAAACCAGGCCATTTTAGATCAAACTGTTTCGCTAGGAGCAAATTTTGTTGAATTTTCTATTGGATTTGGCGATTCAATCTCCTACATAAACAAGCAGTGACGTCATAGTGAAATAGGGCAATTACAGTGGATGTCTTTTATTCAACTTGAAATTTTGGAGATTTGCAAAACTGCATCATCATGAAAGCTGGTAAGCAAAAATCGATGCTTCTTTTACTTGACGAGCATCCCTACAATTGGGGGGGCTACCGACCGCGGAAGGCAGGAGCAAACTAGGGGGAAATTTTACAATTTTAAACTTCTCAGGTGCGATTACCGGCGTTCTGAGGGGTATTTTAGCACAGACACTCTTGTTCTTTTATCTTCGTGTCTGTTCGTGTTTTTGCACCATTTTGCTTTGTCTGATTTTGAATCTTTTTTGAATTTTTTGATACGTTATTTGTAAACAACTTGGGAAAGATTTTTTTCAGTTTTGTTCTAACGTTTTTTCGAAAAAATTCCTAGAAACAAATTTGATGAGCCACAAATTTGACAGAAAAACCATGCTACAGTAAACTAAAAACAAATGGAAATAGACATTTGTGTTATGTGTGTATGTTGTCCGTTCATATCGCATACTGATAGAACTTTACATCTGCTTCTTGAATTTCCCAAAGTTTCTTTTCCGATTTTCATTCATGTCACTACAAAGAATCGCGATGGCTGTTGTATCCAAAGAATCAGTTCTCAACCTATGTATTTGAAGAAGCGCAAGAACTAAAGGTGAGGGTAGGGTGATAGAGCGCAGATAATGTTACCGGAACTAAAGCATTTTCGAGTGGGCGCCCCTCCCCTACAAGTGGTGTTTTGTCGTATGTCAGCGAGACTATGATTTCCGATTCGTGATTCAGAAAACAGAAATGCGATTTCTGATTCGGGAAACGAAAATCCAAAATCCTGCATCATCTCCTTCAAACTTGTATTTCCGCCTATGCAATATACCTAGGCAGTGCCGAAAAGTAAGTTTTCTGATTTCGGAAACAGGAATCTAAAATAACTCTTGTACAATTCCTGATTTCTGATTCCAACTGGTTGGCCGTAAAGCATCCTGATTGTACAGGATAACTCCTTAATTGGAGTAACTTTAACTCCCCTGATTTAACTCCCTTCCAAGAATAAAATTTACTCCCATGAAGAATAACGTTGACTCCCATGAAAGAGTGCCTTTTACTCTATATGGGAGTTGTTTTGAACCCCCAAACAGAGTCAAATTAATCCTTTCGGAGTTGTTATAACTCCCTGTTTGTCACCTTTAAAAAGAGTAAAATTTACACCTTTTCAGGAGTAGATTTCTTTCTTGCTTTTTGAGCTTTAACAATTTCCACTATACTCTACGTTTCCCTACTTATAGATACCTCTCATCACCTCTTACCTCGAAGAATAATAACATAAATGAATACAAAACTACAATTATTTGGTTAAAAAAATATTTATTATATACAATAATTTACTAACAATACAGCAATATAGTGACAATCATTGATGCCGAATTGATAAGAATATTTAATAACAACATTGTATTTCGCCTGCGTCCACTGCGTGACATAATCTGTACTCATACTTCTTCATTTTTCAGTTACAGTCAAACCAGCTAATATGAATATCAAAATTTGATTTTTAGTTTGTTTTGAAACTTGTATTTAATTAAACGGGCTCAGATAAAAATCGTTTTATGTCTATACAGATATGTGCAAAACCAAAATTATTTACTATTGTATAGCTACCAACTCAAACCCATCTGTTTGGTGTGATTAGCATTTTGAGTTAATGCCGGGATCGAAGATCATTACAACCGCCAATATAAGTTTCAAAACAAATTCATCACACAATTCAGCACCCATAGCCTGCGAGAGGACAAAAAAAAGCTATTATAACTTATCATACTCAGCAATATACAAGGATGCTCAAGCTTAATTAACGGCATCACTTTACAGTTACAAAACACTGAAAGCTTTCAGTTTCTATCATTATTAACACAACAAACTCATTAAGTTTAATAATACGAACAAAATAGTAATTTACCTGCACAATATATTGAATCCTTTGAAAGTAAGTCATCCATTACCACAAAAGTTACTTTTCGAATAACAATTCAATGGGTTTTAGGCTGGTTTTTAACTTCAAAACCCCGAGACAAGCACTTTCCATCTCCAAGCTTCAGGATATGTTGTTTCAGAAAATAGTGATACTCTATACTAGGTCATAGTCCAAAAACATTCATGGCATTGCCGATATAATATCCATCAATCACGATCAAGAAGAATTATTTAATGGTATCCTTTCTCTTCTATTGAAACTGAGCAACAACAAAAAACAGCCAAACTGACTTTTGATTCGATTTTCAATTTAATTATACAGCTTCTCATTAATCCCATATAGGTAACTGTCCAATATTTTCTTAATTGGACAGGTCTTGTTGATATGGGATTAATTAGGCAGCTATATAATTAATAGGTAATGGGATTTCATGCTCCCTAATCAAGGAATAATTAGACTCGAAAAATTCCTCTGACTGCCAAATCGCACTCGGCCTACGGCCTCATCCAATTTTGTCAGTCCTCGGAATTTTCCTCGTCCAATTATTTCTTACTTGGACAGCATGGAGTCCTATTACATATACTTATTATCTACTGATATTTTATGCAACAGGTAAGTCAACACTTTCTCTTTGCAATTTCAACACGATGTGGCTGGCTAACTGGGCATTTTTTCATTTCTCTGGCTTACATTGTAGAACGGATGTTTTTTTTTTTTTTGTATTCTTTTTTCTTTTTTTTTTTTGCCAGCAATTTTTGGAAAGGCGTCTATTGTATAATTCCATAGTTTTGCATTCGTCGAGTGATCTGGTGGTGCATCGAACAGTAGCTGCGTGTAAAGAGGGTCCATATATGTTGGGAGACACAAAGTTTCAAGAGCACGAAGTGCATCAAAGCGTAGCCACGTTTTGTCGTTAACTGCGCATCTGATTAACAGTTCATTTATTCAAATTACCTTCCGTGTCAGAGCTCTGTATCTGTTAAGTCAAAAGTCGTATTAGTTTTGGATTTGACTGACACAACTACTGGCAAATGTACAACTTCAATCTATAATGGGTTACAGACGTGAAGATTTTGTTGAAAAGGTCGATGAAAATCTGATTTGTTTAATATGGTAAGAGAATCTAGTTTAGTTATTACGATGTATGGATGAATTAAAATATTTAAGCTATAAATGATAAATTATATTAATAAAGGTAAATTATTTGATTAAATCTTGCAATTTTGATCATCTGATTTACTAATATCCTCAAATTCCCATATTGAGAAACTTTGGAGTTATGATACTAATCATAGATTGTTTATTAAGGTATTTTACATTGTGCAATCTGCATTACGATATTTAAAAAATCTGAAGACGAAAGACGTTACTACCGAAACATGTCATTCAACCTAAAAAGTGTCGTGTTTGTTATAGAAATAATAGGAAGTCTGCTTCTAAACCGGCCTTTTGATAGGGGAAATATATCAAAAAAGCTGTTCATTAAAAATGTTGCCTTTATCTTCTTAAACATTCATAATATGTCTTGTCGATAAAGCCGGTGACCCGAAAAGCTAGCAATACTAAGCAGGGTAATCAAGAAACGATTTATTAAAGATCGTGATTCAACTGCAGCAAGGTGAAATTTTATAGATTTGTGGCATATTTGCGTTTCCATTTTATTATTTCATTTCTAGTCATGAAGTTCTGGCGGACCCTCAGCAATGTAAAGAAGGGCATATTTTCTGTAAAGAGTGTATAAAAGCATGGTTGAATCACAAATGCAGATGCCCCATGGATAACACAGCACTAAGATTCGAAAGTCTTATGCCGAGCGTGTTTGCTAAAAACATAATACAAAACCTTAAAGTCTTTTGTCACCAACCAGGTAATGATGCACAAGTGGCAGATACTGCAGGTGAGTCTGGAGGAATTTTTACTTGGCATGTTTTACTTGGGCATAATTAACTTTTAAACGTTTGCAGAGAAATGTAATTGGTCCGGGAAGCTATTGGCACTAGCGGACCACAGAAAAACTTGTCCTTTCCAACAAATACAATGTTCTAATGTGAACTGCAACACAAAAATGCAGAGAAGGGAATTGGAAGATCATGACAAGATATGCAAATATAAAGAGCTGGAATGTGAGAAATGCAAAAAAGTTCTGCTCCGACATATGCTCATAGTGCACAAAAACAATGACTGTCCTGAAGAGATGGTGCCATGTCCCAACCGCTGTACAAGTCCACAAAACGGACAAATCAGCAAGATTAAAAGGTATGAAAGTCTCAATTTTGCTTTCGATACTTTCGATGTACGTTCTTGGGTACATAGCTCTTATTAACCTCGTTTGCTCGGTCCGTACCGTAACTTACGGTACGGACCGAGCAAACGAGGTTAATAAGATATTCATTATGGCAAAGCATTGAGATTAAGCAACAAAAGTAAAGTTGACAGCGCATGTCAAACGAGAACTGCATTGGAAGGGCTTCCTGTACGTGCCAAAAGTCATGTAGTGTTTGAGTCGCTCAAAAAGAGAAGTTTTGGTTTACTTTGAAAAAAATTAGCTATAGTTTAAAGTTTTCTGAAATACTAAAGAACAAAAGTGAGGCTTTGTTTTGCAAAGCATGTAAATGCAAAGCAAAAAAGGCATCAAAAGAAGACCTCAAGAACTCAACATGAGATTGAGAAGAAAACTGTGAGTCGTACTTCAAACATCAAGATATTCACAACCACGATGAAAAATACTACAGCCTTCCGTTTGTTTTCCTGCCTTTTATTGGGAAAAAAACTCAAAAACTCTCACCAGAAATGAATAAGAAGCTTTGGAAAACTACGGATCGCTAAACATGTATAGTTTTTGTCAATTTTCAATATTTTGACTGTTTTCAACGTTTTGACTGTTTGAAGCAGGCCACCATATACACAATGGCTGAAGTCATGAAGACGGCACACTTTCGACTCTATTAAAAAAGGTACTGCCAAATATCCTGTCCAAAAATGCATTCAAATGCAAATGTGAATGAAATATTACTGAAATATTGAAATACTTCAAGTGCGGATGAGCCTAGAAAACTGCTTAAAACGTTAACGAAAGAAACTACTGGCTTTTTCATCCGATCGATTCAGATAAGTTCAAACTTGACGTTGTAAGCTTACTGAAATAAAAAAATTACGTTAATTCTACTTGTAAACCTATCTTTATTTCATTTACTGAATTAGTCGCTATTCACCACCCTTTAGTTCGTAGTTTGACTGAGTTTTAGTTTTCGCATAGTTATTTTTTCTAGTTTTTTCTAGTACAAAATCGCTTGACTATAGTGCCGTATAGAGCCTTGATCGATTGGCGAAAGCTGGCGAAAGAGATGTCGCTTGTATGAAAGGGTTGTCGCTTGTATGAAAGAGTTGTCGCTTGTTCGATAAGTTTTACATTAAATGCCAGTGACTTTCAGTTATCTTTAATTAGTTATTGAAGCTTTCCCGACGATTTTCATCCAGAAATATATTTTCTTAATGAAGTTTTGAATGTTTTAAAAGATCATAAGTACGTACACTCCGTGAACCATTTCATTTTTCGGTCCGTACCGTAAGTTATGGACCGCAAATTGACCAATCATTATAACGCGTGAAATTACCTTGCCATATGATAAATAGAGGATATTACATGGGCGCGCGAAGATACGAAATTTATCTTCGAGTGTTGAAAAGATCTCTCACAAGTGAGTGCAGCGAACGAGTGAGAGATTTTCAACATGAGAAGATAAATTTCGTATCTTCAAGCGCCCATGTAATATTCTGTTTATTATATAATTATCAATGACAGTATGTTTTGGCTTTTTCAGGCAAATATTTCCGTGTATTTTTGAATAGCCATCGCAATGGTGTTATCTTCACACGTGAAAATAACATGTTATTTTCACGTGTGAAGATATCAATTTTTCGAAATAGAGAAAAATAGATATTTCATCGGTAATTATATAATAATCATAATTACTACCTGTATATAACGGAACATACAAATCAATTATATTTCAAAAAATATGTTCCCGTCCCTATAACACCCCTGGTGTGGCTGAATGACACAACAGGGTAATAAAGAAACTCTTATGAAATGTGTTTTTGTCATTCGGTACAGATCTATATTAAAAGTGTATGCTACATCGAGTGTATAAGCAGATTAAGAAATCTGCCTCAGTTGGGTTCTCGCGGGACTCGAATCACTGACCTCTCTTTTGCTAGACGAGATCTCAACCGCTCGGCCACCGCGAGAACACAAATGAGACAGTTTTTTAAATCTGCTTATACACTCGATGTAGCATCACTTTACATATAGATCTGTACCGAGTGACAAAAACACATTTCATAAATTCACAATTAATAAAAATTCCGTT